CAAAGTAACACACGCGGCAGAAGCGCTACTCTTATTCTGCATACGCAGACAATACAAAACTGAATATTACTGGAAGTTGATTTAAAGGCCACTGTATGATTTTTCACTATTAAATTGTACTTTGCAAGGCCCAACCCTGATATGGAAGTATCCTATTTATTAAAACTACCCAACAATCTGCATTGAGGTTGTTTTATCTTGCATTTCAATTGCTGTATTAAGTCGAAAATTTTCAACGAAGGACCTACTTTCATTTCTAAAAGTTCTATAATTTCGTCTTTTGTAAGTTGTAGCATCATGGGACCTGTGATGTTTGCGAAGTTGACGCAATAAGGTTGGCAACCATTGACTGTGAGAAACTTAGCTACATCTGCGGTACTCCAATTCACTGGATCTACAGAATTCAGTATGTCTAAGGGCACTGAGGTGTTGACTAGTCTAGGTATCACTTTGTCATCGTCCTCTCGAGGCAATTCGTTGAAATCTGCTAGAGGCTCTTCAGAACTGGCTTGCGAAGAATCGTTCTCTTCGGGGGGTTCTTTCAATGGAATATCCTGAAACTAATAAACATTAGCGACTACATAGACAAAACAGAAATCTACTACTATGTGAAACAGGGTCGCACAAGAAAAGAAGTTTTATTCTTCAAAGTCTGCTTAAGAAATTGATTACATGTTTGCAGTTAATGTGTGAAGTCGTAATCAACTTCATGCAGCCGAAACCTCGACTGCATAAAGTTGATAATCGTGAAGTCGTTGTCAACTTCATGTAGTCAAGGTATCGGTGGCATGAAGTTGATTACGACTTCACGCTTTGACTATAAACATGCAATCGATCTATTAGTAGCCTAATGGGAACAAAATGCGAAAAGAATGGGAAAAAAATGCGTTTATTGTTAAACGCATTGTTTTTAAATTTAGAGTGTTATGTTAAAACTCAAAACTAACCATTGAATCTTCTTTTATTTCTACTGTTTGCTCAGTTTCCTTCGATTCATCAACCTCCATCTTCGTTACGGATTCAGCTTCAACCTCGGGGCGAGGTTCCGCGTCCGCCGATATTTCTGTATCAACCGAAACACTAGTAGGTGGTGAGAGGCTTTTTGTATCACCCATGTCAGAATTTTGGGAGCTATCTTCCGTTGTGTTCGGTGGCTGCGATGCTACTTTTGGTGCTGTAAAAATTTTTCAAAAATTTAATCAAAGCATACATAGGGTCGACTATACAAGACAGAAAAAAGTGTATAATAGACTTAACATTGTCAAGTATTATGCCCTAGTGCATACACGAAGAGAAGTAACGACAAAATTTTCGCCAAAAGTCACCTAAAAATTGTATATTCCATACATAATGTATTTTAACATGAATGTCACATTACATGAATTTTGGAATTGATACTGAAAAACACAATAAAAGAGGTGCCCACACGAAATATAGATTTGAGAGAGGTTATGGGTCATTCATCACCATCAAGCAACTCACAAGTGTAATTGTTTGAACTTGCTCATGAATGTTAATACAGAGATTTGGAAGAGGCCAGCTTCTAAAAACAGATCACATCAGTATATAATCTCAGTACAGAGTACTAAAAAAACCGACCTCAAAAGTACGCCGAATTACTTCTATTTGCTAAGTTTCATTGAAATATCCACTAGTTCGCCACTATACAGGACTTGATACTGGAGATAATAAAAATAGGTTCTCACTACGACACTACTCAAAGTATATCGAGGGAAAAACGCCTTCAATTGGAGAAATAGCAAAATCAACTAAATAATTGCTAAAAGTAATTGATCCTAAATTAAAATTAGGCGCTATTTATAAAAATGAATCTTCATGAGTGAACAGCCACCCTTTGAGGTGGATGATTTTCTTCAAGACGAAATGGGACCACTATGGAAATACTCCCTTTCCAACAAAAAAAAGAATCATGAAAATCGGTTCACAAATACCGAAGTTATCGCGTAACATACATACAAAAAAAAACATACAGTCGAATTGAGAACCTCCTTTTTTGAAATCGGTTAAAAATAAACCTTCACGTTACTCATACCACGTCCAATCGACGTGAACCGATACAAGAAATACGTTGAAAATTAACCTGGTTGTCTACGTCGTCGTTTTGGTTGCTTCGGAGTCTGTTTACGAATGGCCCTCGGCGGTGGCTGTAGCGGACCTTCGAGTCTGTGTCCAACGGCCCTGCACCACCCTACTGGATACATATCCGTACTATGCGCCCATAACCACTGATCGTATTCGGTGCCCCAACCATCGAAATGTACCTAGAAACGCGTAATACATATATTATATTAAGAATGTTGTGTATTGGGAAAATTTTGGGAGAAATTACCTATACATGTATTGCTTGTTTACGTTCACGTACCAAATGATAAACACAAAACCATGAGTTAGCCAGTTATGAATTGGACCACTTAGGTACGATAGTTGCACACTGGAAATTAAACTATTATTTCGAATCTAAATGGCGTATATTCGTTTTTTTTTTTTCAAACAAATAAACGTTTTGTGCCTTTTACAGGTGCCGTGGTATGACCATCTGTAGGGCTAGCATGACAGGGCGCGAGCGAGAGCGACATAAAGCGCGAGATAACGCTATTCTCGCAAAGAGATCTCGCGCCCTATCGTGCTAGCCCTACAGTACTTTTTGATGATTTAGATCCGAAATGAATTTATATTGTAGACAAAAATTTCAATTTCAAGGAGGTTAAGAATGGCTTTCAAACGGAAATAAGGTTTGACATTTGACTGCCTCCGTAGCCGAACGGCTACCACCCTGTTTTCTAATTTGTGACTCTGCTGTTAGGTTGAGTGCTAGCTACAAGGTGTTCTGTGAATTAGTGCGTTTTTTGGGTATTTTTTTTATTTTATATCCCCTGTTGACTTATTTTATGTGGTTATTTAAGTAGGTTACGAGTATTGTTAATTGTATTGGTAATTCAACAGCTCTGCAATTTTAAAACCTAATAAAACAGTATTTTTATGTCACATTGTGCTCTCACAACATAAGGAATATCTATAGTAATAAGGAATATTTAGAATTTACAAATACTAATTTATATTGATTTGAAGTGTAATTAATTTTAGAGGTCATAATATTTAATTCAATTAATATTTGCACACCTGCTTGCAGGTTGAATACATCGTACCTATTTTTATTTTAGATCTGTATAATTACTGTATTCTGGCAAATAAACATTTCTATTCTATTCACAATACTCACTGAATAGCAGAGTCTCAGAAGCCCGTAAAATTACTAAGCGGAAAACTCGATACTGGCGAAATCTTAAGGGTAGCGCCATTAAGCAAAAAGAAGAAAGAAGGTTACCAATCTGGACTGCCACGCAGCGGTCCCGGGTTTTAAGAAATATTTGTATGGCCTACACTTATTTCTCACGTGAGTTTGGGTGTAATTTGTGGTTGTCTATGTGTGTGTCCATAGAACCAACGATACAGGGTTTTCCTAGTGCGGGGCTATGGAGTGTGTGCGTCATTATCAGTTATAATTATACAAAAAAAAAATTTGATTTTATTGTACTCTGAACTACAAATTAGTATTAAAGGTCGACTGTAAAGGTGCAAATGGGCAGCAGAATTAATTTTACCTTAAGCAAATCAGCAACAACTCTCGCAATAGTAGCAACACAAACAAGCCTCGGGTCCATAAGATCGGCGCATTCCAGCCGCATGCCGGCGACAAAACCGTGCGACACGACGTGCCCTCGAGCTCCGAACAAAGCTCGGTTAGCTGCGCGACTGCCCGATACTGCTAAATACGTTTCCCAGTTAAATTCTTCTGCTGAGAAACTGAAATACAAAACGTGATGCAATTTAACAAACACAAACAAATAGCAAGTTTTATAGTGACGATACCGGCCAGGAGTATGGACAACACCAGCGTAACATATGCAATTTTTATGCTCTGGTGTTTCTAAAAGGCAAACATAAATTTTGCTCTTTAGTTCTTTTTTTAAACAGAAATGTACGTACGGCTAAAACCATGGTCCTATATGTTTGGCTTCATGTTTTTCAACAAAATGACCTTATATTTTATGATGATGAAATATTGGTTCATAGGTTTTCAACAAAATGGCCTGATATGGGTTTCGATAAAGGGACCACTAACCTGTTTTTTACTATGGAATTCTTTGTAGCACATTGATATACAGTATCTAAGTCCATAATATAAAGCTAGTCATATATGTAATCTACTTTCATTAGACATTCAATTTAACTTACCCAGAAGGCGGCACCAGCGGAATATTATTGGCTAAAGCAAATCCCACAGGGAATATGCAAGGTGATCTTTGATGATAGCAGAACCAATCAGCTGCAGTTGCATCAGCAGGGTAACAGTCTATTCGTATCATCATATATCCTTCATTCAATATTTGCATTACAGTAGCTGCACACACAGCAGACAAATTTAAAGGATCTATAGCTTCTAGCTTCATTCCTTCTGCAAATAGTGGTGGTTCATTTGTAGGGTACTTATAAAACTGTTCCAGTGTGGTATCATGGGGAATCAGTCGCCCTGCGGCTACTCTTTGGCAGTAGCTCTGTGGTGCGTCTAATGGATGTCCAACTCGAAACGCCCATCCAACTGGATGTATTAATGGTGAGTCTTCATGACACCAAAATCCATTGTCTTCTGGTGAACTGTCATAATATTTGATATGCAATCTTTTACCTATGATTTCTACTACACTTGCCACCTGCAATGAGAAACATACTGTAATTGTAAGGCTAGTCACATTCATATGCTTTCATCACTTAATTCTACAGTACAATTTTGGTGTATTCTAATAATATGTGGAACATAATGAGACTGATCTTAAAATTAAAGTCATATTTAATTCTTTTCATGCTCTAAGGTGTAGGGAACTATAATTCAGCATGGATCATTGACTTACAAATAAATGGACGACGGGTCTAATACAAAAACCACGAAAAAAATGTCCCAAGTCAACCTATTCGAAATTTAAATTGTAATGTCATCGCAGTATCGCGCTGTCAGTAGAACAAATGAAGACTAAAGCGGAGTGTCGCGCTCTGTATACGATTTTAGCGCCTTACAAGTGCGGACACTTTTTAGCGCGGACCCGACGTCCATATAACTGTAAGTCAATGGCATGGATTAACATTTTAAAAACCTTTGGTGTGTATTTAATGGATTAATGAAACTGTTATATAAATCACGAGTTTGCAACAAACCTACCAAGTGACGAGACTAAAAAGTCTCGCGTCTAGTGTTAAGAGCATAGCATGTATGCATAAGTACAGACAGACATAATAATTACATAAGTTGACAAGTCTCATATGCCTGTAATTTCCCTAGCACCCTTACCCTTCAAAACCGGAACACAGCAATGCTTATGAAGCACTATTATTATATTACTGCTTGGTGACTAGGTAAGGTGGCAGAAGTTTCCTGGACACCCTTTAACAAGGAACTCTACGGCTACTAGTGTAAATTTAGCAAAAAAATGTTACCGGAAACATACCTTAACTTGTGAGATCCGATTTTTATCAACTACTTCCATAATAGAGCCAATAGTAAATCTTGATGCTAGACAATCATTTAGTTTATTGTAAAAATTAGCTGGTAATGTTCTGGCACCTGTTAGCTGCTTTACTAAAAACCTAAGACCATAGACTCAAGTTAAGTTACAATAAGAAAATATACAAATTAACCCTCAGCTCCCTTCTTCCTTAGCATACCAACTTTGCACACCAAACGTGCTAATCATGCCTAACTCAAAGTATAATCAAATTGATGAAAAGTATTGATATTGTACAGTGATCATAACCACATTTTAACTCTAGGTATGGTGCTATAGACTCTGGTATTGTGACGTGTCCTATATTATGTCTTGTGTTATGCCTATTAGAGCGCCCACCTATTGGACCCCTAGAGACGGCCTCTAACATCGTCCTCAAGTTACGGACGAGATTTTTTATACATTTTATATAGCATCGGCGCAAACTGAGCGTTCAAGTAGCCACGTCCAAGCGACAAGGAGCGGGAGTGGCTGGCTTCTCCCTGCCTGCCATTGGTGCCGTTTTAGCAACTCAGCCGCTAGATCTAGGGAATTTTATGAATGTTTACTGCGCAAAAATTTGGCTTTAACGAGAAACAAAGAAACCAATATTTAGCGACTTGTAGTGTCTTTTTGACCCGTATGTAATTTCAAATACAAAATCAAAGTAAATCTAAAGTTAAAAATAAAGATATGTATGAACTATTTTCATGTCTTATGCTGGTAACACTTTGAATTCAGCAAAATCCACCTCTCTGCCCTCGCAACGAAAAAAAAAGCGCTACTGCTGTATAAGGTATGCATAGTTGTGCCTTTTTTCGTTACGAGGGCAGCTCTGTTCTCTGATGTGTCTCTTCTAAATTAATGATTATAATTGATATCCTATCCTCAATTATTAACAAAATAGAAACCAGTATGTAGTCTTACTTTTTCCAATCTGTGTATTTATCCTCAATACTTTTAGGTGGTATAAGAGGTTTTCCTCTTGTAGCACACCAGCCCACTGGATGTACTTCTGAGCAGCAAAGATTAACCCAAAAGTCTTTTGAATCATCACTTCCAAAACCTTCATAACGTAGTAAGCCCATGTAGCCTTTTACCTGAGTATAAAGAAATTAATTGTTTGTTGTATGTATAAGTAGTATTGATAAAAACTTAAAACATTTGTAACTAAATTGCGGCTTAGAACAAATTATATATAATAAATTATGCATCCATAATACCATTTGTTCCCTCGAGACAAACTCTAAATATGAGTACACATATCAATGAGAGTTATGAACCGAGAGGAATTGAGGAGGTTACACCAACAAGAGTCTGGCCCTTAAATAGGATGGTGATGATTGTTGATAATCTACTATGGCTCCAAGTACATTAAATTGTATGGTGTCCATAGCAGTAACAAAAAGTAACATTTTGTATACAAACATTTTATTTGCATGCAAGTGACAAATTGTCACTGTAGCACATGGCAGAGGTACAGTTACTCACTTTTAAAACTGTGGCTACCCAAAAGTAATCACCAAGTTTCTCTGATGTATTTTCACAGTCTGTGTTTTTTACTTCAACTTTCATTCCTTCAAATGTACTATCCCACATATCATGAAGCGGTGCATGTTTAAATAAGCTCACTGGGGCAGCAAGGAAGTCACAGCCAAACAGTTCATCTTTCCATTCATAACTATGTGCTATGTGTGCTGCAGAAGGTTTTATAGGTCCAGCCTGAAAATTAATGATGAATGTATATTGAGAACGCAAAACCAAACTTGATTTAGATGCCTAATTTTAAAATATTATTGTACAAATTTATGAATAATAATAATGCACACACTCAACATAGCCCCGCACTAGGGAAACCCTGTGTCATTGACACACATAGACAACCACAAATTACACCTAAGCTCACGAGAGAAATAAATGTAGGCCATAAAAATATTTCTCCCGGCCCGGGAATCAAACCTGGGATCTCTGCGTGGCAGTGGTGATTGTTAGACCACAGAGGCAGTT